TCGTATATCCATAAATATCCCATACTCGACGATTCCAACATCGTATATAGTCTTCCTCTAATTTGAAGCGAATAAGCACATGTTTTTGTTCCAAAAGACCCAATTGAAAACCGCCCTTAAATCCAATTTTTTCAAAGGCTACCCGTAGGCTAGATATTTTTGGCTGAAAAAATAACCAACTACGGCACGATTGTGCTTGGCAGCCAAAACCTGGATGTCATTCTCAGAAAAGGTAATTGATGGCATACCTTTAAAATGAGATAGGGAAACATTCGTAAGCGGGGGATCCGATCGATCTGCAACAACAGCCGCAAAAGACTTTGGTGGATGCGTTCCGCCACCTCTGGCGGCGGCAAGGGTCTTGAGTCATTAATAATCGCAAAAGCTAGCCGTCTACAAAAAAAATCAGTTCTTCTTTAAGCCATAATCTTGTGATGCACAACACACCGTTCTAAATGCACAATAAACCTAATGAAAACCGGTTCATCTCCTACTGCACAAATAATTTACGGTCGCACACATGCAAGCCAAAACCGGAATGGTAACTCTTCATAATCATTAACATCACAGATCGCTTTCTATACAACAAAATATCATCTCAGATGGAATTCTACATGACACTACAATAACTAAATCTGAAATTCGTGAAAATCAGTTCATCTCTAAGCCAGAAATCTCGTGATGCACAACTCATAGATTGTTGTTCACTTGCACAATAATCTCTTCTCTCTGCACTTTTTTGTTGGTTTAATTCACGCCAGCGACTCCACCTTGTATATCAGAAACTCAATTTCTTCTTTCCATATTGGAACATGCTTATGTTTTGTCAATTTAATAACTTCTCTGGATCTTACGTGATTATGGCTATTTTTTAGGAAGTAGAAATTGAAAGACGCCGCCCCATAAAACACATATGCGTTACTGAATTACAGTTTCGCCTGTTATTAGAACCTCGCCCCACTTTTCGTTTATGTGAGATATTTTAGCATGCGATGATGTCCATATTTGTGTCGTGCACCAATCACCTTACAGCCGCCCATTTGATTAGATGGTGGGTTGTGATTTGTTCTTATGTTCTCACGTTAAGAATCGTTCTCACTGGAACCGCACCCTATATTATATATAGGGAGCGGTTCTGGTAAGAACGGACTCCCAAGAGAGAAATGAGAATGAATCTGGACCGTTGGATTGTTTTATGTGGAACTAAATTGTGCATTTGGCGAAATTGAAAGGTGCATTAGATAATTTTGAAATGTGCAAAATAAAAATTTAAACTTAAGTGTGCATTAGCTGAAACGGAAGTATGCGGAATAAAAGGTACATAATTAACAACACATCATACCTTTTATTCTGCACATTTAAGTTTCACCTAATGCACATTTCAATTTCACCTAATGCACTATTCGACTTCACATAATGCCACTGTATCGTACCCTTTGTGCTGCACATTTCGAGTTCACCTAATGCACATTACAGTTTCATCTAATGCACATTGAATTTTACTCAAAGCCAATATAACGGTCCAGATTCATTCTCATTTCTCTCCTAAGATCGTGTTCTTATTTGAACCTAAACCATATATATATATATGTATATATATATGTATATATATATATATATATATATATATATATATATATATATATATATATAGGGAAGAGTTCAAATGAAAAGTGGTCTTCCCGTGCAAAGTGCAAACTTTTTACTTCTTCATGTTTCGCTTGCACTTTTTGTTGTTTGCGTTGCACTTTTTGGCCATTTTGATTTTGGCCAAATTTGGCCAAAATGACGGTGGCAGTTTTGTAAATAAATAAATTTTTTTAGCTACCGCGAAAAAGTGCAACAAAAGCAATAAAAAGTGCAAGCGAAACATGAAAAAGTGCAAACTTTGCACTTTGCACGTTAAGACCTCTTTTTATTTGAACCATCCCCTATATATATATATATATATAGGGAGCGGTTCCGGTAAGAACGGATCTTAGGAGAGAAATGAGAATGAATCTAGACCGTTGGATTGGATTATGTGGAACAAAATTGTGCATTTGGTGAAACCGAAATGTGCATTAGATGATATTGAAATGTGCAGAATTAAAATTTAAACTCACATGTGCATTAGGTGAAACTGAAATGTGCAGAATAAAAGGTACAAAAGTAACAACACATCATACCTTTTATTCTGCACATTTTAGTTTCATCTGGTGCACATTTCAAATTCACCTAATACACAATGTAGCTTCACATAATGCCACTACATTGTACCATTTGTGATGCACATTTCAATTTCACCTAATACACATTACAACTTCATCTAATGCACATTGAATTTCACATAAAGCAAATCTAACGGTCCAGATTCATTCTCATTTCTCTCATAAGATCATGTTCTTATTTGAACCAAAACCTATATATATATCAATAACCAAGCATTCCAGCCCAGCTGGTTGTGAGGTCACCGTGCCTAATGGGAGGTCTCGAGTTTAAAACCCGCTAGGCACATAAGGGTTTGAAACTCAATGTATTGAGTTTCAGCCCTGATTACTCCAGGCCCCCCAGTCCCCCTTCCCCCAGACCACTTGGAGTATATATATATATATATATATATATATATATATATATATATATATATATATATATATATATATATATATATATATATATATATATATATATATATATAAAATAAGAACACGATCTTAGGAGAGAAATGAGAATGAATCTGGACCGTTAGATTTGCTTTGAGTGAAATTCAATGTGCATTAGGTGAAATTGAAATGTGCAGCACAAAGGGTACGATACAGTGCCATTATGTGAAACTGAATTGTGCATTAGGTGAAACTGAAATGTGCACTAGGTGAAACTGAAATGTGCAGTATAAAGGGTACAATACAGTGCCATTATGTGAAACTGAATTGTGCATCAGGTGAAATTGAAATGTGCACTAGGTGAAACTGAAATGTGCAGAATAAAAGGTATGATGTGGTGATATTTTTGCACATTTCAATATATATCGTTTAATGCACATTTCAGTTTCACCAAATGCACAATTAAGTTCCACATAATACAATCCAACGGTCCATATTCATTCTCATTTCTCTCCTGGGAGTCCGTTCTTACCGGAACCGCTCCATCTATATATATATATATATATATATATATATATATATATATATATATATATATATATATATATATATATATATATATATATATATATATAGGGTGCGGTTCCTGTGAGAACACCCTCTTAGGAGAGTAAAAAAGAACAAAATCTAACCTTCAATTCACTTAATCTCACGGCCAAAAACAATTCCAAAAAGCAGTTGATTTGCATTTTTTTCGGATCATTAAGTTAGTAGATATGGAAGGTGTTCAACTCAATATTAAATGAGGGTCACTATTGTAAATTGCATTTAGATAGGTTCAACACACGTAGCATTATAATAGGAAAGGAATCCTATAAATTAGGATAATAATTAATAAGAAGTAACTCCCTCTAATAACTACGTTATCTTGTTTTTTTCCTTCAAATTAGTACTCCCCACAATGAGTATTGACTTCGTACACTAAAATTTAATATGAAAGTGCATTAAGATATTATTATGCATTTTTGATAAATTTAGTATGCACCCAAATAAATTTAAGGTGCACAAAAAATAAGGTAAACGTGCATGGAGAAATGAGATATATTTAATTATAGAAAAATTTATTATGCACCAAAATGTATTTAATGTGCAATATATATTTACATATGTTTACTGTTTAAAAATATGTTTTATGTGGATCATTCTATTATGCACTTCATTTGAGTTATTTTGCACTTCTAACATTGAGGTACACATTTTGTCGTTGATCTACGATTGTTCTATAAAATTCAAATACTTTTATAGAATACTTTTATTTGATATATATTTCTGCACTTTTTGGTAAAACTAGTCATATTTTTTATTGAAGTGTGTTAAACTTCTCTATGTGCACTTTTATTTATATTGATTTGCGCTTTTAATATGACAATCTAACTCGTTCATTTGCATGTGAGCCATTGTGCACTTTTCCAGCAAATGTTAAATGAAATTTTATCATACAATTTATATGCACATTTCTTGCTTCACGATGCACTCAAATATTTTATCGAATGCACCTTTATGCAATAATAAGCTAAACGGAGCAAAATAATTGTAGTTGGAAAAAGGGAGCAAATTAATCACTTGATTGGTGGGTGGTACAACCGCACAAATGGTTAAGATATCAAGGAAGAAACAAAGAAAATAATAATATTAACTAAATCCTTAATTTTAGGAAGGAAAGAAGTTATCATGACGGAATGGATCTAAGATGGAAAGAAAAAGAATGACCCTTCAAACTTCTAGGAAGATTAGTCACGCGTAATAATTATGAGATGATCCAATGGTTGATATCTATTCTTTTTTCCTCTCCTAAGATTAAGTTCTCACATGAACCTAAATATATATATATATATATATATATATATATATAGAGAGAGAGAGAGAGAAGAGATCAAATAAAAAGAGGTTCTCCCGTGCAAAGTGCAAACAATTGCACTTTTTCAGCACCGCGTTGCACTTTTGCGTGTTTCTGTTGCACTTTTCGCGATGGCAAAAAACTTCGTTTTAATTACGAAATTGCCACCGCGTTTTTGATCAAATTTAGTTCAGTTTTGGCTCATTTTGAGCCATTAGATCTCGAAATGAACGCACGAGATTAATTCTTACTTTGCATGGGAAGACCTCTTTGTATTTGAACTCTCCCCTATATATATATATATATATATATATATATATATATATCAATGATATAATTATATATCTTTATTTCTTCGCAACTTCATTGACATTAATAAACACAATTTTGTTTCTCTTAATTGAGTGTCTATCGGAAGTTTTCTAGATATCTAAAATAATATGGAGTACTTCGTAAGTAAAGTGGAGTTACATGTTGATATTGAATTGATAAGAGTAAAGTAAAAAACGATTTAGAATCACCCAAACTTTACCAAATTTAGAATGAGACAATTTTTGTGGAACAAATTGAAAAGAAAAAATGAGACAATCTTAAACATTGAGGGAGTAATAATCTTGTGGAAGCCTTGTTCGTCCTTAGGATAACCTAGTATGATATGAGCCTAGTTGAAACACCCTATTGGTCTAAGAAAAAGGCCGCTTGAATCGTCTTCACCTTCAGGTATTTTCTCTCTTCAATTCATGAAACTAGGGGATTCTGACAAGGGAGGCTGGGGGGTACTCATAGCAGCTCATGTGAGACCCTGCACCAATTACACCGCAGCTATTGCAACCTGAAGATTATTGTAGCTGTCTAATTGTTCAATGTGTCACATTGGAACATACCAAGCCATACAGAGCTATGTTTTTTCATCTAAGTGAGGTCAACTTAATTAGTTGTAAATACCCCATTTTAATGTGTGAGCATGATACTACAACACACCAATGTATTTATGCGCGGCCCATGAAAGCAAGACTATGGTCTTAAAAGCAAATGAAGTACCTGATTACACACAAAATCAAGGAGAATCCAAATTTCATCATCAATCAAAGGAATATTGTCACAAATAAAACCACAAGATTATCATATTGAAAAAGGTATGACAAAGCACTCAATACAATAAAACAGGGAATAAAATCTGCACTCAAGACATTGGGATTCAATTCATGTTATACCCATCGCTAATTAAGTCTGGCGTTGAGTGGATTAGCTATGACAAAAGGAAGAAAGAGCAAACACTGCAACACAAAAACAAATGTTGACAAGATTAAAGTCGACATAACAAAGTGACACAGAAATTCCAGTGAGGGAATTCAATTTTTTTTATTCAATCATCAACACAAGAAGAGGAAATAATCTTGGTGAAGCAGAAGGACAGTGAGAGTGAGTCCGATTCAATCTCAACATCAGAATAACCCAATTCAAGCAGTAAATGTATGGCAACAAAGATGTCAGCCCATTCAGCTTCAAGAACTGATTGAGCAATCGGGTGGGGAGAGGCCGCCGAAGATTAAATTTCCATGAGCATCTCTTAGGATAGCCCCATCAGCAGAGGAATTCCTAGTAAAAGCTGCATCCACATTCATTTTTAAGGTGCGTTTTGTTTTTTTGCAATTGATTTATAGAAATATGTTGCATTAAAAGAGGTTTATGTTGCACAAAAATATGCAATTATGTGTGGTGGTATTTTCATAAATAGTTTTGAAAAAATCTGCACTACACCTATCTAGTGCAACACGAAGCTGATTTAGTACATAATCATCAAATCCTAGTGCTATATGAAATTGTTTTAGTGCAACACTAGTGTTTTACCCGAGCGTTGCCCCTGATGGATTTTGAGAATGTTTGAATACTTTGTAAGTTACATATTTTGTGCCCACAAAAATCGTGCTTGATCCAATTCCTGACAGTCTTTTCTAATTTCGTGGGAGTCTCAGATTTAGTACAAGAGGAACCTATGCACTGGCTACCAAAAATCTCGTCAATAACAGAGGAGCCAACATCAATATCTAAGCTTATTTTTGACAATCAAATTCGGGAAACATACTCAGACAAACAATGGTCTCCAATTCCATTGGAACAACACAAGCTTGTTCAGGCATACTTTGACGCTTCAGACAACTTTTACGAATCAGATGACTCTTTTTACATGGACGACTTCATGGGGCATGCAACTGAAAGCGATCGTCGTCCCCCTATCTCAACTCCGGCAGAAATTGCGAAATCAAAATTCAACAGAGCGATTTACAAAAATATCCATGTATGTAACATCAGAAAACTGTCTGCCAACGGATAATTTGAACACGCAAATCAAAATCTACAGGAAATCTCAAATGAATAAACGGTGCCACAACATGATGACTAGGTCCCAATCTAGAGAATTTCCTTGGGCGTAATCTTAGGCTTTACTTTCTTTGTAATTATTTTTTGTTTTTTCGTTTTATTTCCTTTTCAGATTGTACTATTTAATTGTTCAATAAAATTCACTTTTCTTAAAAAAAAAAACGTTTGTTCGTTGTTGATAGTAAATTAATTAAAGGGAATATAAAAAAAAGTGACATTGTAATGTAACACCCCACACACCAAAGTACCTAACATATTGTTAGGTTTTGGGAAACCTTTTTATAAACCACATTCACCGCCTTGGTGCAGAAATTTGTTTGTTTTGAACATATGAGTATATTAAGATGTCTTTGCTAATTACTTTTAGTACTGCAATATAAAATTCGCCATTGTCGAAACTTATCTCTCAAGGTATAAATCAAAATTTGTGTGATAACATTTAGCCTTGTTTTTTATTGATTGTCCATTGCAAAGCTTATTTTTTAGCCTTGGTAAGAAGCATTTTCTTACCATGACTTTAGAAAACAATTTCCAATAAGGAACTTTTTCAATTCCAACCTCAATTTCATACGAGATTGACCTTAATTTTTTCCGAATTATCTTTCATTAATTACTTGAATGAGTATATATCTTAAATCATATGTGTTTTCTAAAATGGAATCTTGGGATGGGCTAATAAGTAAAATAATAAAGTAAAGATACATACACATCCTATTAGTTCTTTTGATTATGATTTCAACAAAAATCAACATAAAGACAAAAGAAAACAAATTGAATGCTCGTTGATTATTTCTATATGCATTGCTTCTCAAAAAAAAAAACTCCCTATCCTCTCATTTTACCCTCCATCTTCAAAGCATGAAGAAGGAAATTACTCCAAGAATCTATAGGACCAAGGAGACACCAATGTACACAATCGTTGTACAATGTTACATTCTCTTGTGGTCAATGCCCATATCGACTAGGATGATCATCCGGTCTCAACAACATAGGATATATATGTCATGTCCAACAACTTATACGTCAACCCTTTCATCTTCCCTTCCCTTTCCGCTACTCTAAGTTCCTCTATTATGGTCAAGTACATCTCCAAATTTGTCCCCTAAAAAAATGTTTCATTGCTTCGAAGTGGCGTTTGCCTTAGACAATTTCCGACATTGTTCCATTCCCCACCTTCAAAGTGAGCTGGTGCAGGACTCCTTAAAAATGTCACACCTTTGAAATTATTTAGATTTTTTATGGTTTTAAAAATGTTATTGAGAGCTTTTTTATAGCCGTAGGACATTGGGAGGCCAATCATGTTCTTGATCAAACAATAACGACACCCAATTCTTTTGTTGCTCTCGAAGTAGATGATGGGATGGTAGATCCCGTGTGTGGCATTCATGATGACATAGTCGAATTTCTTGATCTGAGTTTTCCACTCCTCATTGGCCTAATCAAGGTAGAGATTAAATAAGCCGGTGTGGGTTGGACCATCTAAATCGGCCTCTTTGGCCTTCACCAAGAATGGTGACCAAAATGTTGCTATGGTGGAGTTGAATGTTGTATACCTCCACTGATTGAAATTTTCGTCTTTAGATGTTGAAACATCAACTCGGTATTCTACTTAAACCGTATGATGATGTGTCAAGCCCCCAGTTGATAGCCCCCTACCATAAAATCGCCTACATCTAGTACACTAAATGCGCTACCCGTCAATTCTAGTCTTCCCGTCGACTGCTTTGTGGAGCTCTCCCACATACGACCAGCATTATCCGAGAAAACACCAAGTATCTGAATATTACCAACCAGCGGATCCTATGCGGAAATTGGACCTGCGTCCTAGTTGGGCCTGGGCCGCCTAGGGGTATTTGGGCTTGGACCCAATACCCCAACACTACCAACATTATATTCAAATATTTTATTATCTTACAACCTTTTTTGAAGTATTATTTCTATAATAACTATTCAAATAAGTTACTCCTGCATATTTTTATGTTATAGTTGAAAATATTTTTTTAATAATTAATAATCATTGTTCACAAATATTGACTCAAAAGATCTAATTGTATCTTTATTTTTGTACAATAACTTCTTTTTCTAGATACCATTTAGTAGTTATCAAATTTAATATAAAAATGATTTAATAATATTTTTAATTAGACTAATCAAGTATTTTTATTAAAACAACACATGACATTTTAATGAGACTATATGTATATATATTATAATGAGACTATATGTATGTATATATTATAATATAATAATAATTGAATACATGAGAGTGGAGTTTTGCAAGTTGGATAGCTTTTCATTTATGATGTTGCCACATGTCATTTTTCCTACAAATGAAGTTGCCACATGTCAATATTTCCTCCAAAGAGTTCTTTAAGGGTTGGTTTTATTGTATTATATAGATACGGAGTATTAAACAAAGTAACTTTTAAACGATAACAAAACATACAAGTAACGTAACACATTTTAAATATGTTTGACACAATTAGCTGAAAAACTATTTTTATGAGCTTTTTACGAACTATTACTCCGTAGTTTTTAGTGACTAAAAGAATCTTTAAAGAAAAAAGGTTGTACTTGTTTGATATAAGTTGACTATTTGATTTATTTATATTTGATATAACAAATTATTGTGAGTGCACGGTTATGTTTTGCGTACATTTAAACTATTGTAACTAATTAATGCTAGAAAGTAGGAACTTATGCTTATTAAGTAAAAGATATTTTGAATTATGCAAGGGTGCAGTGGATGTACATTTCGAAATAATTATATAATGAGAGCGACCCATGGTGAGCACTGTACTCACACACTGAAAACGGCCTTGCTCAAGTTTTAGTTTAAAAAAACGCATGCGAACATCGAATATGTTTTTGTTTCAATATTAATTAGGACTATATTAGGTGACGTAAATCCCGTGCACAGAAATGTAACTCGTGTTACTACAAATGTAATATCAGGTTTCGACAAATGTAAAATGTTGAGCTCTCAATCCATCTATACTACATCTATACTATATACTCCCTCCGTATCTATTTAGATGATCCGTTTGCTTTTTACGGAGTTTAAGACAATTACTATAGACTTTATAAAAGTAAGAGGTTTTTGGCACTGTAGCGATACTGTAGCGGTACTGTAGTGGTAATGTAGCTGCTTTTTGAGTGAGATTCTTTCGAAAAAAGAAAAGAAGACAATTAATTTGATACACCAAAAAAGGAAAGTGTGAGTGTGTGACGAGTAAATAGATACAGAGGTAGTACAAAACAAAGATAAAAAAGTACAAATTCCCGTTTAACGGATAGGAATTCGTGGAGAAAAAAGGCTCGGTCTTACTCCCTCCGTCCCTTAAAACTTTGTCATCTTTCCTTTTTGGGACGTCCCAAAAAACTTTGCCACTTTCCCTTTTAATCAATTATTTTGTGGTTTCTGTTATTTCTCTCTCCTCTGCACAAACCTCAACCACACAGTTTTTACTTTATTATTCTCCGTGCCGGTCAAATTTGGCAAAGTTTTAAGGGACGGAGGTAGTATGTCTTTGGAAGTATAAAAAGGCTACATACCTACTGGTCGGCCAGATTACTGCTCAGAAAAAAAAGAGCCCATTTGGTAAGACTGTCGTGCGACTGTATGAGTGTTAGCTTAAGAGCCCATTTGGTGACACTAAAATTGGCTGAATGACCTGATTCTGCTGAAATTTATGAAGTTTTGGTTGAATTTGCTGTATTGGCTGATTCTGCTAATTCATGAAAAAATTATATTTAAAATATTTGTTATTAATAAAATAAATAAAAAAATTATATGAAAAAATAGCTAAAATGATCTTCTACAGTAACTTTAGCCATACAGCCAGAAAAGTAACTTCAACCTTACTTTTTCTGCTTATTACAAAATTCAGCGCGTGAAATCAAAAATTACGTGTTTGATGAAAAAGCTGGTTGATAAGCTTGATAAGCCGAACAAAAGGGCTACCAAACGAGCTCTAACACATACTCGGATCCATATTTCACCTTTCTTATTCCCAATTTATAATAATAACCTTCAAGATTTTAATGTGTCTTTAAGATTGTTTTTAGTAGGGGTGGACGCGGTCCGGTCCAATATTTTACCGAACCCGTACCCGGACCGTTACTATTGAAACAGTTCGGTTCGGTTCGGTCTTAGATCTAAACCCGTTCGGTTCAGTTTCATTTTCAAATGGTGTGGTACCATGTCATACCAATACCAAACAATGCCACTTTTTTCGAAAAGTTAAAAATTAGTCATCATCCAAAAATCCACACAATTATCAATTTTCATATTACAAAGTTAATGAATTTCATATAAACTATAATAGTACAAAACATAAATAACAAAATGTTCACGACTACCACTCTCTAAGCACCATTGGCTTCTCCAGACCTTAGAAGATGATATCCAAAGCTTCACTTCCCACTCACACACACATAATCAGTGCATTTTGACCCCAACAAAAGCATTGATTTCATTTGCCACTTCATTTAAGTATATTTTGGGAAAGTTGGTTTGATTATATTTTATTAGATGGGCTAAACTGCTAAATATGTTAAATGTAAACCTATAGTCAAGCAATAAAACAAATTGGGTTGGGCTTCACCACTATAAAGTCTGCCTCAGTGTTCCTGCAGGCAGCTTTCAGTAAACTAGCAATTAGCAAAGTGCAAATGAGTAATCAATGTAATGATAATATGATATATATGTATATAAAATTATATAAATTAATAAAATTATAATTCGGTCTGGTTCGGTTCGGGACAAAATTTTATGAGAACCGGTCATGACATGGTTTGGAAGCGGTCCGGACCGGTTCGGGACAAAATTTTTGAGAACCGTTTGAAATCCCGTTTTCTGGTCCGGTACCATACCGGTCCGGTTCGGTACCATGCCGATTCCGTCATTTTGCCCACCCCTAGTTTTTAGCTTTCGACTTTAAAAAAATGTGAAAACTGTGATGGCTTCCATTTGAAAAAAAAATTAATTTTTAAATTGATTTTAGAATAAATGTTTAATAGTAAAATTTGCTAGTATTTAAAATAAAAATGCTTTGAAAAACCTAAAAATTGACAGTTTTTATAAAAAATGTTTTAATAGTAATAGAAAAA